GTGGGGAGTGGGTGGGGGGAGTGTGAAGAGGGATGAGTAGGTTTTGATGAGAGGGAGGGGAGGTTTGGAGTTAGGGAGGGTGGGAAAGAGTGGTTGGAAGGGGGGGGGATGATGTGGGAGATGGGGGGTGGTTTGAGTAGGTTTTGGGGTAATGAATGATGGTAGAAGGTGGGGGGGGGGGGGGGGGGGGGGGGGGGGGGGGGGGGGGGGGGGGGGGGGGGGGGGGGGGGGTGGGGGGGGGGGGGGGGGTGGGGGGGGGGGGGGGGGGGGGGGGGGGGGGGGGGGGGTGGGGGGGGGGGGGGGGGGGGGGGGGGGGGGGGGGGGGGGGGGGGGGGGGGGGGGGGGGGGGGGGGGGGGGGGGGGGGGGGGGGGGGGGGGGGGGGGGGTGGGGGGGGGGGGGGGGGGGGGGGGGGGGGGGGGGGGGGGGGGGGGGGGGGGGGGGGGGGGGGGGGGGGGGGGGGGGGGGGGGGGGGGGGGGGGGGGGGGGGGGGGGGGGGGGGGGGGGGGGGGGGGGGGGGGGGGGGGGGGGGGGGGGGGGGGGGGGGGGGGGGGGGGGGGGGGGGGGGGGGGGGGGGGGGGGGGGGGGGGGGGGGGGGGGGGGGGGGGGGGGGGGGGGGGGGGGGGGGGGGGGGGGGGGGGGGGGGGGGGGGGGGGGGGGGGGGGGGGGGGGGGGGGGGGGGGGGGGGGGGGGGGGGGGGGGGGGGGGGGGGGGGGGGGGGGGGGGGGGGGGGGGGGGGGGGGGGGGGGGGGGGGGGGGGGGGGGGGGGGGGGGGGGGGGGGGGGGGGGGGGGGGGGGGGGGGGGGGGGGGGGGGGGGGGGGGGGGGGGGGGGGGGGGGGGGGGGGTGGGGTTGGGGGTGGGGTGGGGGGTGGGTGGTGGGGGGGTGGTGGGGGGTGTGGGGGGGTGGGGGGGGGTGGGGTGGTGTGTGGGGGTGTGGTGGGGGGGGGGGGGTGGTTGGGGTGGGTGGTGGGGGTGGGGGGGGGGGGTGTGGGTGGTGGGGGTGGGGGTGGTGGGGTGTGGGGGGGGTGGTGGGTGGGGGTGGTGGGGGTGGTGGGTGTGGGGGGTGGGGGGGTGGGGGGTGGGGGGGGGTGGGGTGGGGGGGTGGGGGTGGGGGGTGTTGGGTGGGGGTGTGGGGGGTGGGGGTGGGTGGGGGGGTGGGGGTGGTGTGGGTGGGGGGGGTGGGGGTGGGGGGGTGGGGTGGGGGGTGGTGGGGGGTGGGGGGGGTGGGTGTGGGGGTGGGTGTGGGTGGGGGGGGGTGGGTGTGGGGGGGTGGGGGTGTGGGGGGGGGTGGGTGGGGGGGGTGGGGGGTGGGGGTGTGGGTGGGGGGGGGGGTGGTGGGGGGGGTGTGGGTGTGGGGGGGGGTGGGGGGTGGGGGGGGTTGGGGGTGGGTGGGGGTGGTGGGGGGTGGGGGTGGGGTGGGGGGTGGGGGGTGGGGGGGGTGGGGTGGGGTGGTGTGGGTGTGGGGTGTGGGGTTGGGGGGTGGGGGGTGGTGGTTGGGGGGGGAGTGGTTGGGGTGGGGTGGGGGGGTGGGGGATTTGTGGTGTGGTGGGGTGGTGGGGGGGGGTGGGGGTGTTTGGTGGGGGGGGTGGGGTGTGTTGGGTGGAGGGTTGGTGGGGTGGGGGGGGGTGTGGGGGTGTGGAGTGGGGGGGGGGGTTTGGTGGTGGGGTTGTGGGTGGGGGGGTGTTGGTGGGTGGGTGGGGGTTGGGTGGGTGGAGTGGTGGGTGGGTTGGTGGGGGTGGGTTTGGTTGGGGTTGTAGTGGGTGGGGTATGGGTTGGGTTGTGGGTGGGGGGGTGTTGGGGGGGGTGGGGGGTGTGGTGGGGGTGGTTGGGGGGGGGGGGGGGGGGGGGGGGGGGGGGGGGGGGGTGGGGGGGTGGGGTGTGTGGGGGGTGGGTAGGGGGGGGGGGGGGGGGGGGGGGGGGGTGTATGGTTAGAAGGGGGTAGTGGAGATAAGTGGTTTTAAGTTGAAATGGGTGGGGAATGGAGGAGTTAAGTGAGGAGAGTTTGGTAGTGGTTTGGGGAGAGTAGGAGATGATGGTGTGATTTGGGTGGTGAGGGTTGATAGGGGGAATAGGGGATTTGGAGGGGTAATAGGGGGGGGAGTAAGGGGGGTATGGGGGAGAGAGGGAGGGGGGGAATGGATAAGGTGTGTAGGATAGGTAGGGATAGTTTGGAGATTATTATGGGGAAGGTTTGGGAGAGGGGAGTGTGTTGGGTATTGGAAGGGAGTTGTTGGTTGGGGGTTATAAGGGGGGGGGGGGGGAATTGTAGGGGGTTTGATGTAGGGGGAGGAGAAAGGATGGGTGGGATAGTAAATGGTTTTAGTGTGAAAGATGTTAGGGGATATATTAGGTTGATAGGATTGTTATTTGGTTAAGTAGGGGGGGGTAGGGTTGGTGAGTAGGGAGGAATGATAGGAAGATGAGGTATAGGTGAGGTTGGATGAGGGATGAAATGAGTAAGAGTGAGTATTGATAGAGTTGAAGTAGGTATTGGGGGGGGGGGGGGGGGGGAGGGGGAGGAATTAGGGGAGGAGGTAGTGGAGGGGGATGGAGGGGATAGATGTGGGGTTAAGGGGGTAAGATGGAGGAGGAAGTGTGGGATGGGGGGAGGATTGGGGGGGAGGGAGGGGGTAAGGAGGGGGGGATTGGTGTAGATGAGGGGTGGGGGTAGGAAAGAGTATGGGGGATGGGGGGAGGGGGGTGGAGGGGTGAGGGGGAAGTATATGTAGGGGTGGTAGTAGAGGGTTATTTAGTGGGGGAAAGGTGGAGGGGAAGGGAATGGGTAGGAAAGGGTTGATGGAAGGGTGGGAGGTGAGGGGGGGGGGGGGAGGGGAGGTAGGATAAGGGAATTGGTGGGGTGAAGAGGGGAGGTTGTGGGTAAAGAGGTAGGGGGAGGTAAGGAGGGATGGTTAGGAAGAATGGATAGTAGGTGGGGAGGAGATGAATATGTGGATAGGAGGGGGGGATGAAGGGGTGTAGATAGTAATTGTAGGAGGGGAGAAGGGAATTTAGTAGGGGGATGATAGGGTGAAGGGGTTGGGGTAATATGGAGGATGAGGGGGTGAGGGTGGTAAGAGGAGTTATAAAGGGGAGGGAGGGAAGCCTCTGCACATGGTCCCGAAGAAGGTTGTGGGGGACTGGCGTCCTTGCGGCGACTATCGATCCTTGAATACGGTAAGCACGCCCGATCGCTATCCGATACCACACATAGTGGATCTCACCGCCAGTCTGGCGGGTAAAAAGTATCTTCAGCAAAATCGACTTGGTACGCGCATACAACCAAATTCCGGTAGCCGAGGCGGACATCGCTAAAACTGCCGTGACGACTCCATTTGGTTTGTTCGAGTTTCTGCGTATGCCATTTGGGCTAAAGAACGCCGCGCAAACTTTTCAGCGTTTCATCGACCAAGTTTGTCGCGGCTTAGACTTCGCTTACGCGTATCTTGACGACATTTTAATCGCAAGCTCTTCACGAGAAGAGCACATACGCCACGTACGAACACTTTTTGATCGTTTATCTCAACACGGGGTGACGATCAACGCAGAAAAGTGTTCGTTTGGTGTCGACTCAGTTAATTTCCTGGGCCATCGTATCTCTTCTGCAGGCGTCGTGCCACTGCAAGATAAAATTCAAGCCATTATCGACTACCCCGAGCCTCATTCTTTCAAGCAGCTCAGGCGTTTTGATGGCCTGGTCAACTTTTACCGTCGATTTATACCCAACTGCGCCTCTCTGATGCAACCCCTCACGGACCTTCTCCGAGGGAAAATAAAGACGTTCGAATTTCCTACCGCAGCACGCGCTGCTTTTAAGTCGCTGAAAGAGGCTATCGCCAACATAGCTTCCATAGCGCATCACGATCCGACCGCCCCACTGTCCCTTAGTACTGACGCCTCGGACGTCGCGGTCGGCGCTGTTTTGCAGCAACGCGTAGCCGACACGTGGCAGCCCTTAGCGTTTTTCTCCAAACGCCTACAACCTACCGAATCTCGCTACAGCACGTTCGGTAGAGAACTACTTGCCGTATATCTAGCGATACGTCACTTTCCACACGTCCTAGAAGGCCGCTCCTTTGTCGTCTTCACCGACCACAAACCCCTAACTTACGTGCTCGGCTCGACTACCGACCGATACTCTCCTAGAGAGTCGCGCCACCTTGACTATATCGCTCAGCTTACGACCGATATACGGCATGTCTCAGGTGTGCACAACGCCGTCGCCGATGCACTTTCCCGCATTCAAGCTATCTCCGCTGACGCCGGCACTGCTATCGACTTGGCAACCATGGCCACAGCGCAACTCAAGGACCCTGAGGTTGATCTACTACGCAGGTCTCCCTCATTGGACATACGACCTGTTCCGCTGACATCATCAGACGGCACTATACTGTGCGATTTATCTCTGGGCACGCCGCGCCCAGTCGTCCCACGTGAGTTTCGGCAGACCGTGTTCGACGCGTTGCACGGCTTGTCTCATCCAGGCGTTGGTGCATCGGTTAAACTCGTAACCGCACGATTCGTTTGGCGCAATGTTAATCGGGACGTCCGTACCTGGGCAGCTGCTTGCCTTCCGTGTCAACGCGCGAAGGTGCACAAGCACACGAGAAGCCCATTAGGCACTTTTCCGACGCCAGGCGCACGCTTTCATCACGTGCACGTCGACCTCGTAGGTCCTCTGCCGCCTTCCAAAGGCTCGGTATATCTACTGACCTGCATCGATCGATTTACTAGATGGCCTGAGGCCGTCCCTATCCTAAATTGCTCCTCGGAAACAGTAGCGAAAGCTTTTATGGAGCGCTGGGTAGCTCAATACGGCTGTCCTGCCATCGTGACCACCGATCGAGGGTCACATTTTTCGTCAACGTTTGCCACGTTGCTTAAGGATTTAGGCTGTCGCCACGTTCAGACGACAGCGTATCATCCGGCCGCTAACGGCATGGTGGAGCGTTTTCACCGCCAGTTGAAGGCAGCGCTACGTGCGCACGCAGATCCTTCATGGTCTGAAACGCTTCCCCTCGTTCTCCTAGGTTTAAGAAACACGGTTAAGGCTGACTTCGACGCCACACCAGCGCAGCTAGTCTACGGTTGCACGCTGCGGTTGCCCGGACAGCTGGTAGCACCAGCCCCATGTACTTCTACTTTTGACTACGGAAGTTACACTGATCGATTGGCTCACCAGATGCGTGAGTTACGTCCACCCGCTCCTCGATCGCAGAAGACACCGGTGTACGTGCCCGAGAAGCTGTCTACGTGTTCACACGTCCTTCTTCGCGCAGACGGTGTTCGACAGCCTCTTCAGTCGCCGTACATAGGACCCTTCAAGGTGCTGCATCGTGCAAGTAAGGCGTACACTATTGACCGTGGTGGTCGACGCGAAGTCGTCACCATAGACCGTCTAAAACCCGCCTTTATAGAAGAAAACCCCTCGCCTACTTCGTCTAGTAGTGCTTCGTGCGACGTTGCAACTCATCGCACCAACTTACATCATCCCAGTCCAGTTCAACCAGACCACGATCTCGGTCTGCAAGCCGTCCCAACCTCTCCCGAATCTATCCCGCCGCCTCCCACGACCAATCGCCGTGGTCGGGAGGTGCGTAAGCCCGTCCACTTCTCCGACTATGTACAGTGTAAATACTTTTAACTTTGTAGATATTGTATATATCTGCCTCGTTTTTGGTCGATTAACGTTTTGAAAACAAACAAAAATATCAAAAATCCCCGAAAAACCTTTTTCGAAAAAAATATTCAAAAACCAAAAATATTTAAACACGCAGCTCATTTGTTTGTTCTTTTTGGCGTTTTCTGCGCGTGTTTTTCTACTTTCTCGTCTTTACATGCCCCAACCCTCCCCTTCGATCGACTGGCCCATACGAGGACGGTTCTCGAGGACCCTGACGCGAACACTGGTCGATTCTCCGCGGGACGAGGATTGCTTCTCCGCGGGACGAGGATAACTTCTTCGCGGGATGAGGATCGCTTCTCCGCGAGACGAGGGTCACTTCTCCGCGGGACGAAGATCGCTTCTTCGCGGGACGAGGATCGCTTCTCCGCGAGACGAGGGTCGCTTCTCCGTGGGACGATGGTCGTTTTCTTCGTGGGACGAGGGTCGTTATGGCGCGGGGCGGGGTGCGGCGGGGGGAGAGACCACTCCCAAGCGCACCGTTTGGCAGCAGCGGAGGATGAGGTCCTGTCGGCCTTTTTCTGGACTAGCCAGTTTTTTCTAGTCCGACAAGCCCGCTCCAACGGCTCGCCGAAATGCACCCTGCCCTGCATTCAATAAATAACGAATCATAAACGGCACAGCGGACTCCGACTTCTGATGAACCCCCATTTACACGAACGCACGCCCATTTTTACTCGGCACGATTTCGCCTCACAAACCCCGTTTCAACATTCCTTTTCGATTTCGAAGGCTTTCTATGTCCAGCCTTCTAGGGGGGGAGCTCTGTAGCGCCCAAAAGATAACTCTGATCTTTCGTGTACAATTTACTTGTTGACCGATTGTACATTACTCCTTCTTGTTTTAATCTTACAACCGGCTCGACACACAACTGCCTTGTAAGTCCCCGCGCTCACGTGTACGCTCTTGCCTCGCTTCATCCGTCCGCTTATTGTTGTAGCCCATCGAATACAGTCCGCTGTGTCCGACTCCAATTGCCTTCTGATATCCGCGCTTAATTCCGCGCATCGTCTCGGACTAGTATTGACTAGTCCTACACGAGCCTAACATGTTGACTCATAGGGAGAAAGCGATATTATTATTGCCAGAATGTTACCAGTCGGCAGAAATGGAAATGTTAAGCTTTTAAGGAGAATAGAATAAATAAGATAAATCACGACCAGTAATGTTCATGAGAAGAGAGTCACAGAGCGGTACGTCGGCATAGCATAGAACATTTCGATCTTAGACGTCCGAGAGGGGTCAGAAAGCA